CTTAGGTACTAGAATAGACACCCTGTGGCTAATAGAAGAAAAAATAGGCCCAAATCTTTCACCACATCGGCCTAGGATCTGACTTCCTTAACAAGACTCCTAAAGCACAAGAAGTAAAATCAAGAATCAATAAATGGGATGGGTTTAAATTAAAAAGCTTCTTCTTAGCAAAAGGAAACAATATCATGAGGAGAGAGCTTACAGATTCGGAGAAAATCTTTACCACATGCACCTCCAATAAAGCATTAATTTCTTGGATATATGAAAAACACAAAAAACTTAATACCAAAAAAACACAAATAACCCAGTCAATAAAATGGGCTAAGGAACTGAACAGACACTTCACAGAAGAAGAAATACAATTGATCAACAGATATATGAAAGCGTGTTTAACATCTCTATAATTAGAGAAATGCAAATCAAAACTACTCTAAGATTTTATCTCACTCCTGTCAGAATGGCAATCATCAAGGATACAGACAACAATAAACGTTGGTGAGGGTGTGGTGAAAAGGGCACACTCATAAATTGCTAGTGGGACTGCAAATTGGTGCAACATAGAAAGCAGTATAGAGATTCCTCAGAAAACTGGGAATGGAACCACCATTTGACCCAGCTATCCCACTCCTTGATTTATACCCAAAAAACTTAAAATCAGCATATTATAGTGATACAGCCACATCAATGTTTATAGCAGCTCAATTCACAATAGCTAGATTATGGAACCAACTTAGATGTCCCTCAATAATGAATGGATAAAGAAAAGGTGATATATATATACTCAATGGAATACTACTCAGCTTTAAAAAGCCAATCCCACAAAACCAAAGGCCAAATGTCTTATCTAATATGCAGATACTAATTCACAATAAGGCAGGAGGGGGCACTAGGAAAGAATAGCGTTATCTTAGATTAGGTAGAGGGAAGTGATGGGAGGGGAGGGGAAAGATAGTAGAATGAACCAGACATTGTTACTGTATGTATATATGTGACTGCATGACCAATATGATGCTGCAACATGTACACTCAGAAATTATATCTCATCTATGTATGATATATCAAAGTGCATAAATGCATTCTACTGTCATATATAACTAATTAAAACAATAAATTTTTTAAAAGCCTTATTAAAATTATAAAAATGTTTTTAAAAAAGCCTTAGTAGGAACAGGTGGAAATTAACAAACATGCCTCTATCATGTTATGGTCCAAGTGACCCCCATAGGTACCTGGGGGACACCTTCAGACTGCCCCTCCCTATACTCACCTGTATGGGCATGCTGTGGAGAAGACCCCAGGAGGCACGTGACCAGAAGCAGCATCTTCAGGGGTGAGTCACGGTTCCAGAAGCCCAGGAGAGGCCCTCAGTGCTGGTGAGGAGTGATCTCTTTACGTCCACCTCCTCCTACCTTCCTCACTCTCTCCTGGTCCTGCACACAATGGAGAATCTGGGTGATTCTATAGGAGTCCAATCTTTAAATGATCTTGGATTTCCAGAGAATGAACACTCAACTGGGGACAGAAGTGGATATATGTCCCAAGCCAGGAGGGAGGGGGCTCTTGATGACAACAATGACACATGGCTCCTTCAAGGGGGATGTTTCTCAACTTCTCTATTATCCAAAATGTCTATCTTGAACTGGGCTGCATCTCAGAGGCTGGGGAGCTCCCACTGAGCTTGGTGCTGAGCCATGAGAAGGTGGGGGATGGGCAAGCAGGGCAGGGTAGAAGAGAGGGTCTCGACCAAGTACCATGGACAAGCCTCGGTGCTAGGGATTCAAAATTGGTAGAGACTGCTGAACATGGGTACGTGGGCATGTCTCAGGAGGGTTCACAACTTCATCTGAGTTGGAAACCAGAATGGTTAAGAACCGATTATATGTCCTCTGAGATAGCTGCTAAACACAGATCGCCAGAGCCAATGGAATTTAGTCTCTATCTTGTCTACATTACTGAGGGGCATCATGGGCTGTGTGTGGACTATATTGCACATCGCAACCTAGTGAATAGGAGAATCTGGTGTCTGGGAACTTCCAGTGAACACTTGCTCTGGTTGACTGCCCAGATACATCGTGAGCCCTATTCAAGCTCTGCCTGGTCCCACACAGCAGGGGAGATGGGATGACCTGCTGTAGCCACACAGCCCCTCTGAGATGGATGTGACCTGCCAAGATGCTAATTAACCTGCCGACTGAAAAATATCATGAAGCAAGACTCCCCCCGTAACCTGTCCCTGCCTTGTCCCTGTCCCTGTCCCTCCAATGTTGTCCCACGGGAGCCATTTCCCGTTGTCTAGCCCCAGCTCCTATGTGGACTGGATCCATCAGGTGCTCCATCTTTTAAACCTAATTCCGACTTTGTCTTTTGTTCTTCATTAATTATTCTAAACTTTAATTTCTTAGGTGGCTTACACCATCCTTGGCAGGAAGAAGAACCTCCTAACAAAGGACTGGCTGCCTCCCCATAATAAATGTTCTTCTGTTCCGTAGATCAGGAAGCCATAGAACGGGAGGACATTGTGCCCAAGGTCACAGAACACAGAGAAAGGGTTGGTGGGAAAAGGACACTGTGCTTCAACACAGCCAACACACCTGGTCAGTGTCTGTACTGAGCTGGACCCCGATGGGTTTCCATAAGCTCTATATGGAGTCCTTCCCACCCCTAGACACAGCATCACTGCATACAGGTCATCCCACCAGCCACCAGAGAAATGACCTACTGTCTACTTAGGTCTTTCATGGGGCCTCAGGAAGACCAAGGAAGATGGATGCCCTCTCAGTGTCCGCTCTCAAACAGCTCAGACACCCAAGAACTATGGAAGTGAGAGAGCAAGGAGGGCTGAGGTGAGAGCACGCATGAGAGGGAAATTTGGGGAAGAGGGAGGAAGAACAGAGGGATGGAGAGAGCAGGCCAAGATGCCCTGGGAGGAAGAGGGGGTGGCAACGTGAGGCGCCACTGGCACTGGGAGGCCCTGTGGAGAAGGAGTCAGGCCTTGTGGCACTCTCAAGGTGAGACTATGAGGCAAGAGAAGGTACAGCACCTGCCCAGTGCCACCCACGAAGCCTCTTGGGCCCCAGAACCTGGGTCTGTTTGCTATCTGAGTCCAAGCCCTTGCTCCAGAGTACCCTTCTCAGTGAAGTGGGA